AAAAAAAAAAAGGGGGGGATCGGGGTGCCCCCCCCCCCCCCCTGGACAAATCCCCTTTTTTTTGGAAACGGATAAGGGGTTTTGAGAGGTCTCGGAACGCTCTTGGTTTTACCGTAGTAAAAAATTTGGGATTTTTTTGTGAAGGAAGCCGGCGTTACCCCCCCCCCCCCCAAACCACATACCACCAGAATCAAGGGATTTTTTTCCTTTCTGTTTCCCCTTTCTTGGACGCCCTAAAAAAAGTTCAGGCCCGTTTCGGCTTTTCCCAGCCCAGGTGGGGGTTTTGGTCTGGACCCCCCCCCCCCCCCAACTAGCCCGCGGCAGCGGCAGCTGCACAACGTCGTATGATAACACAACTCCAAATACCCCAGACGGCTGTCCTAACCCTACTCGGCCAACGAGTGCATTGCGGCGACAAAAAATCTAGAGGAGCATCGTGAGCGGGTTCTCCACTAGGCCTCGGAAGGCGGCCAGCCACTGCGCGCTAACTGCTCCGTCCACCACCTGCAACCAAGCACGCACGTAAAAAGGCAGAGACGGGCGACGGGGGTTGAACAAGCATCCTTGTCACATCGACCATCATGAAGTATATATATTTACAAAAGTAGCACATGGCATGGGGGCGGAGAATATCACAATCTACGCGTGTTGTTAGAGCGAACAAGCACAAATCACTCCACGGTTGTTTCCGGGCATCACACGTTGCTGCGACACGCGCAACAACGCAGCAAGCCCGTTCGCCTCGTGGTGTGATGCCATCCACGGAACATACTCCTCTTCTCTAGACACCGATTGTATCCTCCTGTCTTGACCACGGCGGGTGCATATTACACACACAAACGTTCGAACGCCTACAAGTGTCTATTAATAGTAGACACTAAATATTAAAGACGTGCACACATTTTTATGTGTTTGGATAAGACACTCAACAGACTTGTATACGTTTCTGTGTGTATGGATGCACCCGCCGTGGTCTAGACAGGACGATAAAATCACACCGGAGTTACGTTTGCTTCGTGTACTCCATATTCCCTCAGAGGTGCTTTGTGATAAACTATTCATCACGAGAAGAATTCGGCCGTGCTTTTGTTCCCCCCGTACATACGTACATGGTCAAATCGAAAACGTGAAAACAGAACGTTTCTTTTCTGCTTTAGCCAGCATTCACGGGGTCCTCGTGGGTAATGCAAGACCTGTAAAACCATAAAACAACACTAGTCTCGAGAACGCTCACGGGCAAGTCCTCATCCTCACCCTGTGATCGCAGCTCAGGGTAGCCGACAGCATCGTCTCGAGCTGGTAGATCTCTTCGCTGTCGGGATCTGCGGGATCACATACCCACCCCAAACATTACACGCAGCAGCATAGGAGCAAAAAGATCGGGTGTTGGTTGCCATATTACAAAGAACGCTGAAACCCCGCATGAAAGCAGGTTCGCAGGGGTCGGCAGGTGGCGTTACACTGGTGGATCCACCAGAGATAGTTGGCAAACCAACTGCCTACCAAAACACCGGTCATTAGTTGGGCAGACAGTCACCAAGCCCACATCTCCCTCGAGTGTCGATCATCGGTTAGCGAGTTTCACCCTCGCCGCGGCAACCAAGCAACGTGACAATCAACCCTGCCGACAACACTGAAACCTACCACCACCAACAGCGGCGACATGTGAGTATCAACAACACGGGAAACACGGAAAACAGAGCCTTTTGCCCACAGGGGAGCTATCGCTACATACATGCTATCGGGGAACCGTAGAAAATACAACTTGGTCACCGTACAACATTTGTTAATCTACTCCTATCTGTGTATTGTATTGTAAGGCATGGATTTTTTGTGGTTCTCGGAAAAAAAAAAAGAAACAACAGCGGCCGCAACATCCCCCGGACGCACCCTCCTTGGGGATAACCCTCTCCTCAGCGGCGCCGATGGCCAGCGCACACGCCTGGGGCATGCGCACGATCGGGGCGAAGTTCTTGACTCCGTATGCCCCGAGGTTCGTCACGGTGAAGGTTCCCGTCTCCACCTTCACCAGGGTAGCGAACGATACAGCCAGCAACACCGCAGTGGTAGAACAGTAGTAGTGGGGTTAGGAAGACATGTAGAGCGACGCTGAAAGATGTTGGTGTACTTGGTGTCGTGGGCGCAGCTAGGGGAGAGGATGGAGGGAGGTACAGGTATGCCATCGGAGCATCGAGTTGCCGGCGACCGCGTACAATTATATACAGCCAAACACCATCTCCGATCATGAAGACGGGTCACTACCAGCGTAACTTTCCTGCTATGTACGTACATGGGCGACAAAAAAAAAAAAAAACAGTACCTGGTGGGGCTCGAGCTCCATCGCCTGCGCGCTGCTAGCCAAGGCCTTAACGTCGCTGGAGATAGCCTTGAGGCCCCTGCGGCCGACATCCCGCACCACCGGCGCAACCAGCCCATCCCCGACCCCCACCATAACGTTAACGTCGAAGGAGTTGTATTGTCTCACGAAAGTGTCCATCCAGGAGGCGTTTACCTGTCGACGGCGAAGATAAGCGGGGCCAGGGGGTACGGATTGGGGCCAACATCAAAAGACAAGATGGGGGAGGACGCAGCAGTGACCTGAGGTGGTTGGGATCCGCTCAAGCTCACGAGTTGGCCATGCTAACATGGGGAGGGCGCGAAACACACGGGTAAGCGTGGGACTAGAGAAACAACACACCGAGAGTGTTGTGCGGGAAACATTTGCAGAGAAGACCGCCCGCGACAACGCCCATGTCGAGAGGTCGGGTTTCGACCAGAGGAGATGGGGAACGTAAAAGGACACCTCCAAGCACGCTCCTAGCAACACCCGAGCGTAGAGCGCACAAGTATTCAAGAAGGTTTCACGGGGAGGTTGCAAAGGCGTGGGACACACGTAGAAGGACAGCTCAAAGCACGCCCGAAGCAAGGCCAAAGCGTGTAGATAGACGGCACAACAAATACACACGGTGTGTTCGGGTGGGGGGTACGAAGAGGTTGGACATGCGGGGGGGATAGCTCCAAGTACGGTCAAGGCAAGGCGCAAGCGTAGCGGGAGCCAAGGCGATATCCTGCGGAGAAGGGTACCTAAAGCTTAACATGCCTACAGAGATGCTGTATTCTACAAGTACGTGGAATATCATCTCACATCGGGGACCTTCTCCGAAGCGATGGCGGCCGCCTTGAGAAGCATGTCGCTGAGCGACAAGTGCTCGTCCTCTGGCAAGCCCTCGTTCAATGTCTCCCGCACCTTCAAGAGCTTCTCGAGCCTGACAACAAGGATGAAGACGAAAAGGTTACCGGCTGGTTTCATTCTTCTCCCGTTTGGATTCGTTTGCTGTTTCTCGCACCTTGAGAAGCTTCTCAAGCCTGTAGCAACACAAGACAAGGCGCGACGGGGGAAACATACCAAACATACGGAACGGTGTGCTTGGACATCTAACCCCCAACCCAGACCTACACAGCAGACTCACCCAAGGTCAACGGGGAAGCAGCAATGGGAAACGGTTTCCGCGGACACCTGTTGTCACCCCAATCCAAACATACACGGCAAACTCACTCAAGGTCTACGGCCAAGAAACGGCAGTGGGGAACGCTTTTCTTATACACCTAACCTATAGACACCCGACTCACTTCAGGTCTACGGTGAGGTAGTAGTGGGGAACGGTCTGCTTGGACACAGTCAGCCCTTGCGCGATCGCAAGCGCCTGTTCGGACAGGGGGTAGTCCACGAAGTCGCCAGACGGGGAGGGCTGTCCGACAGCTGGCGTCGCCGATGCCGCAGCAGCAGCAGCAGCGGCCTTGGGAGCCTCCACCTGGGGTGCCAGGAGCCGAAGGGTGAGTGTATGCATAAAATATCGAGTACAACATGAGAGATGGTCCGTTTTAGTCCACCGCTTTTGAAATGAAATCACCAGATGCTTGAGACAAGAGAGACGTTCACGCAAGCTCCGAACGCTCAAGTCAGGGTTGTGTTTGCTGCGCGCATGTCTGTTCGAGTCATCGTGCCGTGCTTTCCGCTTGGAAAACGTCATCAAACCTTGAGAGGCTGCGGCGACCCTTTCTCAAACCCAGGGGAACGTCTACGCAGCTATTAATAATACGCAGAAATACTGAATTAAGACTAGAATCGGCTACGTTGGCGGTTAGGTTTAGGGTCAAATCTGCTACTAAAAAAACACCCCCAAGGCTGGCGTGGCGGCAGCTGTTTCGCCCGTTCTCACCGCAGTGATAGCAGAGGGCACGAACTCCTTGACATCCGCAGCGATGATCCTGCCGCCAGGACCCGTTCCTGCAATGGCGGACAGGTCGTACCCCTCCGTCTTCGCCAACTGTCCCAGAGACAAAAAAAAAAAAAAATCACGCAGGAGGAGGATCAGGAGGAGGAGGAGGAGGAGGAGGAGGAAGGGAAGGAAACAAAGAGAAAGAGAAGATGTGACGAGAAGGTGCGAGGGGGCACCGTAGTATGGTCAAAGCTGTAGATTACTTGCTGGTTTCGAGGCCGCGTCGCCTCGACTACCGAAGAAGTTTGTCTTTGTCGGTCAAGAGGGGCTATTTGAGCGGGGACTAACGACACGGAAACCGACCCTGCCGGCGAAACGGATATCAAAAACCAAACGGGGCGAGATTAGGAGCAGTTTTATGTTTCGACCTCGCATCGTTGAATGAATCTCGCCAGGTGACGAGCTTAAGCCATCAGCACGACAAGGCCACAATATTTGCAACTTCGCCATCAACCACCATACGAAACAATTCAAAGTGTCACGCTGGCAAATCAGACAACAGTTTTTTCGCTTCGTTTCTTTGCTTCTTGCCAGGCATGGCCGCAAGCCTGCCCACCCATGCCCCCACGCACCGCAACTCAGCTCCCAAGCCAAAAGATCTCCACGCAAAACACCGAAAACGGTTCTGACTGATTCCTCAAACACCTCAGCCTTCGCAGCCCACGCAACTCGCTATTCTCGGCAGAGTGGAGAAACCTGCTTGTCCATCCCATCCAATCCCAACGAAGAACCCTTTCTTCGCGTTTGGAAACTTGATAGCCTGGTCCGGTGAGAACACGGCATGTTCCGTCCCGGCCTCGTCGACATGCGAGGTCAACGGTCTAACGACTACGGCCGTGAGTTACCCCCCCCACCACACACACACAGACTAGGGAAGACATTTTTGAGCAACCTTTGGCAAAGTAGGAAGGAACGATTGGCCATCGGTGATCGGTCCTGTGGGAACAATGCTCCGTCCTCTCGAGGACGCGTGGTCAATGGTCTAACCGCTAAGGCATGCAAAACATTAGAGTACGCCCCCCCCCCCCCCCCCCCCCCCCCATCCCTCCCACCTTTTTCACCTTTATCT